AATCTTTTATCTGATTTTGATCGTTTTGCTACACATGTTACTATTACATGAGAAATAAAATAATTTTTTTGAAATATTTATTTACTTCTAAAATATATATATCTTGCTAAAGTTTTCTGTTAAAAGAATATTGTATTAGGTTAAAATAAAGTCGAATCTTACTGCTTTGGAAAACGTAAGAAATATAAATAAAAAAATAAATAAAATTCTTTTTTACTTTGTTTCAGTTTATCGGAAGTTATTAAATAAGTTCGTCCTATTGTAAATTTGTTCGTTCTATTTTTGAAATCCCGTCGTGTTACAGTTTCCTGCGAAATCTTTTATCACACTTGCGACGAGTAGCATAATCATTTCCTATTGAAACTTATGTCTACAAGCACCGCCATCGCATACGATCGTTCTCCTTTCTCCTTTTTTTACTCGTGCCAAATAAATAATTCATACTTCTTTTCGCGCAATAACGTTTACCTCATGGCCTTGTCGCGCTCCTTGATCCCACAGTGACGAGACAACGCTGTAGCGATCTCTCGCCGATTATTGTTCGAGGGCACGAAATTCGCTATGAAGGTGCACCGAAAGTTAACGAAATAAAAAGTAATGGAGGAGAAAGAAGGACGAGGTGCCCGAATTCGGAATTCAAGTGGACGAGGCCGCAGTCGCCGATGATTTTGTTTTATTCTCCCGCGTTTATGACATTTGTGTATACTAAAAAGAAAGAGAACGTCACGTAGGTATTTTCTAAAAAAATATATAGATTTATCTAAATAATCCTCATCATTTAAAGAAAGCGAGTAAATCTCTATTGCAAATACAAATGTGCGACGTTACAACAAATTAATTTGATATAAGTAAAAAAATATGAAAAGTAATGTTCAGAAATTTAAGGCTTCTATCGAGCAAATTGTGCGGAATTGCGACCATTCTTTCAATTCAGCCGGACAAAGAAAACCCAATTCCGTTCTGAGGCAGAAATAATGGCGCAACAAAGAAAAAGAGAGCACATTGTTGCGACGCGCCGCAGTTGTCCGAAGAAATGCCGAATTGGTCGTCGGGAGAATCAGTGCCGAAAAGCGACAAAGGAGTAGGCCGTTCTCTCGGCACGATCGGACGCGCCGCTCGAGGCTAAAACGCTCACGAAGATTTCGTATGCGTGGCTCCGCCTCCTACTCCTATCCGACCCATTCTAAACAAATGAATCATGCTCCAAAATGGCCGACTGAATTTAGACGTCATGTGGCATCGACGCACGCAAACCAGCGCGTGTACGGCATCAGCGTACACACGCTCACGCGGTTACACGCACGACGCCCGTCGCGCCGGGCCGGGCCACAGAGCGTAGACTGCACGTTGCATTGAAGAATTTTGCGTACATGAAACAAAGAAAACTGCAGCTCGTTGCTGAAAAGAAGCGTGAACTCTTGCTCTGCCGCGGAGAAGACGCGGTTTTTCTTTCAGGCTATTTTAGTCTCGAATAAGTAACTTATTATCGTTTCATGTACACGCTCGATTAATACATAGCATTAATGCAACAACGATAATTATTCACTTCCGACTAGTTAGCTATTCTTCAGAAAAGTTTGAAATTGTTCTATCAATTCTTGATGAATTAACTTGCGATAGAAATAAATGAAACGTAAACGACCCGTGACAGACAATATTACAAATCGTACGCTATATGCAATAACTATATTATATAGTTTTGAAATAATCGCTCAGAATTACCCAAGTCGTAAAAAAAAGTAAAAATATAAGACGCAAGAAATCGAGACGAGATAAGTCAAAGTTTCAATGTAAGCATCGATGCCGATAACAAAATGATGATGTGTCTAATTACTGATACATGTATTATATAATATTCTCGTGTCGAGGAAGTAATGCAACGTGCATGTATTAATATCAACTTATATGACGCTCTAGCGTAAATTAATCTAAAAGAAAAAAAAATGAAGCAACATCTATTCATGTTCGAAATTGAAAACTTAGAAGTCCAGATTTGTATTTTTTCATTCAATCGTATTCTCGTTGCATTATGCACGTGGGACGCGCGAAAGACGAGGCAGAAAGCACGCAGGCACGTTTATCGTGATTCCTTTTCTTCGACGCCCGTCGGCGCAACGTAACTACGCTGGCAGTGATTCTCTCTACGTCGGCACGGTGATCAGCAGTGAATTGGCGGGACGCGACGGTAGGCGGATATTTTTCGGTACGTGGCTTAGGCATTGGCTCGCAAAGAGAAAGGCTTTAGAGCGGGCTGACTGACTGCACATAACGCGACTAAGCGCTGCTTAGAAGGCCGGCGGAAAATTTAATGTCAAGTATACATGGAATCGGATTTACGGCATAATGCAACGATGTCGGTGTGCGCGGCCGATCGACGCCAGCCCTCCTCTCTACTCCTCCTAAACCTCTTGTCTCGCTTTTTGCACTTGTATTTATGAATGCGATGCTAGTTTGCGCTATTTTTTGTATTTCGTTATTAGATGCATTTAATGATATTAAATGCACATTAAATAAACGCGCATTAAATAATCGTTCAACTAAAATATGCAGTTAAAATCGAGATTGCTTTTATGTTAATTTTATTTGATTTATCGAATCAAAAGGGGGGAAACGTTGGCAGCAAGAAGTGTTTTCATTTCTACTTGAACACTGAATAACTTTGCAATTATTAGTGTCGATATTCAGATAACTGATAAACAGTTTAGTTTTTAATGATACGATTAAAAAAGTACTCGATATTCTTGGGAAAACCAGTGTGGCTCCACGCCTTCGCTGATTCAAAGGGAGAAACGAAGCACGAGTTTAAAAATAGTATGATGAGATACATAAAACCAGAAATCTAGACAACGACTAATGTGACCATTTGATTAATCCACTTTTTTTTATCGCTCTTTATCTACATGCGGAATCAACTGCGAGATTGCCGGCGAAAAACGCGGCGCGATTATCTGAAAATTCCCCGAAGCGTTGCACGCCGCGCAAACCTCGGTCGCGTATGCGCAGCGCGAAAAAAAGTAGAATATTATTTCAGAGTTCTCTCGATTCGTCATAGATGACCATGAGTGATAGGCGGACTTACACGCGCGAAACTTGCACATCGTTATGTTTCTCTACGGACGAATCTCTCTTTCGCGCTGCACGTGCTCTATTAACCTGCGGAAATATCGTGCTTTTTACAGGGATATCGACGAATCTCCATAATGCACAAAATCGACATGTTGAATTCGCATCTTTGCCTCGAAGGCAAATAACAATTTCTTGTGGGTTTGAAAATAATTATTTAATTGGTGATTACAAAAAGATGCGTTAATCTTTTGCATAGATCTTTTATATAGATGTTTTAAAAAAACTTTTTAAAAAGTTTGAAAAAATTTTTCGGACAAATTATTGGATTAAATTATTTTTTTATTGATGGAACTATTTTTATGATTTTTATGACAATTATATATTTTTAATATATCTAATAATAATTTCCACGATTTTTTGATATCTGAAAATTTCCTCAACATATTTATTCAATGAAAAATATTTGCCTTTGAAATAATACGAAATGGCGATCGTCAATTTGGATTGACTGTTATATAACGACGAAAGAGACGCCTAGAGATCCCCTATCTAATCTTCAACTTTCGGCTGTTATCTTGAGACTAGCAGTATGCCGTGTGCATGGATTATCTAACGAATTTTCTAAACCGCCAATCTGCTTCAAGGTCCTGCCTCAACTTTGTCACCGCCCCCCCTGTCTTTTTCTCAACTATCCCTTTCGTTTGTGTGCGGGAAGCAGGCGACTCTTGCGTAAAGTTTGAAGCCGTATGCGATACAGATAGTCCGTGCGTGCACACCGATAAGATAAACGATTAATAATAGGACGCTGCATGGTTTATCTCGACGTGTAAGGCTGTGCGGTCCACTTACGCTACAAATGCTTCGAAACGTTCTTCTCCTTATTTCTTCATTGAAAGGAAGGAGAAAAAGAATGTTTTGTATTTGTAGCGGCAAGTGGACCGCAGCCTAAAATGCACACTTTAGGAGCGGACGATTGTCGACGCTTGCGACAGTAATTATATAAAAACGCCACAGTTGGGTGATGTGAAAAGAACAATAAAGCGTTAAAAACGCTTTTTTTTGTAGAAAACAAAAGAAATATAATTTATGCCTATAAACATCATTTTGTAACGATTAGATATATTGCTTCATGATAAAAATGTTCATAGTATTATCTATATAATTTTAATTGAGTAAATAGCATATGATATCATAGAAATACAATGCATTAATACTTTTTCAACCACTGTACAGAAGGAGCTCTTTTCGCGAAGCGCACTGTATTTAAAAACCCTTCAAATTTTATACACAATACCCAACAAAAAAAGAGAATCGTTCAATGAAACGCATGCCATAAAAACAAGTCGATTATATCAATTGTTATATAGGCGATTCAATAACCACGATTTTTTCGTTGCACCAACAATTGCACATTCGAAATCGTACTTTGACAATTTGCTTTTTTCTTTTTATAAAAATATTGGATTTGTTAAGAAGATTAAATATAAAATTTTTTTACACAAAAATTATATTGAACATCATATTTTTAAAATTTAAGTCTTCAAAATTTTAGTTTCCAACTTCACTCTTTTATTATTTTTAAAATTTATCTCCATAAAATTTTCTTTTCTACTTATCATCATAATATGAATATTATGACTTATGTTTTCAAACTTTTGTAATTGTATAATTCAAAATTAATAAATTGTATAATTGACTTGAATAAAATTTGATACTCTCTTCTGTTAAAATATGGAAAAAGTAATTCTGTATTTTATTATTTTTAAAAAAGCAAATTGTGAACGAGAATGTGACTGTGGAGGCGTAATCTTTAGCGTTTATTATTAGTTAGTAATTAGAAGTGAATAAAAAGCCAGCTGTTGATATATAATTATATCAGCGATTGATATAAGTTTTTATATAATTGCGCAAGTACAATAAATAAATCTACTCACCGGTCGTTGTACTCTAGCCAAGTATGCAGTCACCTGGAAAAATTAATATATTTGAGTTATTATAAATCATATATTTTATATATTATTAGTGTATATATGTTATTATATAATATTTCATTATTTTCATTTGAATCAAAACATAATTATATGTAATAAATTATATTAATAACTTTTCAAAAATTTTAATGAACATTATGAATAATTTAATTGATATTTTCAAAGATCTTATAATAAATACCTTTAATAAATACATGAATGTGATTGTGTATGTGTAGGTTATCACAATTATATATATATTTAGATAATGAATGAATAATTATATTCACCAGCTAGAATATTGTAATTTGTTCTACCCGTTGCAGATTCTGCCTTAGGCTGCTTCGCACCAGCTCCATCGAAGAATGATGAATGACCGGAAACCCGCATTTATGTTGTTACATGCACTACCAAACGAAAGTCAATCCGTGCACTTCACTTTCGAAAATCACAGATTTACGTCGCCATGGTACACGGAACGCAAACGCGAGATAACCCGAGATACTTTGTACCGCAACATGTCCACGCATAAAAGTGACCAATTGTTTTCATTTTACACATTCGATAGTCCTCGTGACACTGTACACATACTAGAACGAGCGAGACAAACGATGATTGTTTTGACGGCAGGTATGGACACGTACACAACAAGCTATGTTTTGCCCGATTCATTTCGACGAACTGAGTTTTCAACACACGCTATATCTAATAAAAGATACATCACGCTTCGATTGAGCAAACATTTACAGCATCAAAATTTGTATACTCGTTAAAATTATAACCTAAATCCACGCTCCGTCGGCCAGACGATGCACGACGGTCGTCTGATGGCACAAAAAATGCTATTAATCGCGAACATTCTCGGTCATCGCCCGTCACTTTAATCGGCACTTCCGACAAAAAACTCATTATGCACTTTCAGTACGAATAATATGTGCAATTAATGGAGAAACGTTTGTACTGTTTAAACCAAACCGACGCGATGATAAAGACGATAAAAATTGACATGGCGATCGCAGGGCGGCAGCATTGCTTGACAATGTCGCCAATATCTTAATAATTAATAATCGATATCGATATATCGACGCGTTGCTATTTTCTTACCAATCTCTTTTACGACTACATCAGCACAAAATGTGCAGTGTGAACGAAGCGCTCAATGATTAATCAGGTATTTTAATTAAGAATATGTAATCACACACGAAATTGTGTACGAATTTATTTTCGACTAAGCTCTGGCGGCAATTTTATATGAGAAATTCCTGTATCTGTATTTTGTAACTTTCTAACGACAATATTGCCGTCGTTACGTGTCGTTGTGTAGGTATCATGCGATAACCGTGCAACATACGTGCAGCATACGACGATAGCGATATTATCGTTAAAAATTACCGAATAAGCATACTGGTCGATTGTATATATCGCGCTTCGAATCTTTCAAGCGAATGTAAAAAGTAATTTTCTCAGCATTAAAATTTATATACTCACTGAGATTCTAACCTATTTCAGTACAACCCGTCTACGTCTTGCACGATTGACGAAACGCTTTTAATCGTGAACACAACAATTGTCTATTTAATCAATATTCGACGTTCACAAAAAGTTAACATTGATTATGCATTTTTAATACGAATAAAATACTCAATTGACAGCGATACGTTTGCGCTATACATTTCGTTGAAGTTGTAGTAGTGACTATCGCTGTCGTCGGAGCAGTGACGGGCGCGACATCAATTGACAATGTCGCCAATCTTAAAATACATCGATATCGGTGTTGGCCATCTTGTCGTCAATCTCTTTCGTGATGCGTCGGTTCGGAGTGTGTAACATGAACGAAATGCTTGACGATTAATCAGGTATTTTAGTTGTTTAAAGTACATGATCAGCACGAATCTTTGTTGCTAGGTCTGATTAAAGTAACGGACGATTACCAGAACGTATTATTTTCCGCGGTTGTTCGCAATTAACAGTGTTTCGCCCATCCGCTGGACAGCGAGGTTAGGGATTATAATTTCAATAAGTACGGATTTTGATATCATCGGCTGTGTTCATTGCACTAACAGTGAATATTGAGACGCAGCCATCTTAGGCATGTAAAAATAATTCTCTGCGTTCGCTTAAGATGATCGAAGCGCGATTTACTTTTTATTAGACATTAGTGTGACAATAGCATGTTGACAAAATTTAGCTTCTCGGAAGTGAATCGGGCAAAACATAATTGTGTTGTACGCGTTCTGACAATTCCTGCGTGTTGCAATGAGAATCGTTCGCTTTGCTCGTTCCGAGTGTAATAGTAACGGAAAAACCGCCAAATGTATAAAGTGATTTGTGTTATATTTATATGCGTAGAGACATAAAGTACATTTGTTGCGTCATAAAGTACATTTTATCTCGTCTTTTGTTTTGTATATCGTCGGAAATCGGCGACGTGAATGATTTTCGAAAGTGGAGTGTGCGGATTTTGATGTACGATAATTCATAGAGTGACGGTAATCAAAATTATATAAATTGTGTATTTCGATATTCATCGGTTCTTCGAGGGAGTTAGTGCGAAGCAGTCTAAGACGGAATCTGTGGTGGATGAAGCTAACTGCAAATGCTCTAACTGGTAAGCAGAGTTATTTGTTTATCATTTAAATATATACATAATTTTGTAATAACACACATAACAATCATAATTATGTATTTATTAAATATTTATTATGTATATATGCATGAAAATATTTATTAA